ACAAGTAAAAGGTGAAAGTGTCAAACTGTGTAATGAACCCTTCCACAAGCAACATAAATAATAAATCATTGACCCTGGCGTGACACCCCACCGGGCCCAGAAGCTGCAGGCACCCCGTGGTGGAAGGGAAGTCTGCCACGGCCCCCGGCAGCGCTCCGAGCGACGGCCCTTGCGCGCCAACGTCTGTGTGGAAATATCAGATGTTTACTTACAAAACCAATATCCATAATGATTCTGTCAAGGACAAGTGGTAAAATAGAGCTTATAGAGTAAAAAGTTGTGATCCACCTCTAAAGGTAGCTGTTCAAAACACTAGAAACCCCCAAACCGCTTTGATTGGAGGCAAAAGTCTTTGAATAACTGCAGCATTATCTATGCTGATCGTTACGTCAGTGTATTTTCCATTTACTTGTTATTACTACAGATCAAGCTAATACTTTTTCCTTTACAACCCTTTGCATTTTGACTTTACTAACTTCATGCAAATGCTTCCTTTGCCTGCAGCTTCCTCTGCCTTTGCTTTGAATGCAAAGTAGAGGCGTTGAAACTTCCAGGGACCGTCCCCCAAGCAGCGAGCCCTGACGCACTCTCCTGGAAGGTTTCCTGCCAGGCAGCTCCAGCGTGCTCCCCATGTTACCCCCGTGTTCCAGACAGGGAGAGCCTCCAGGGGGGAAGAGTTGAGCCACCAGCGCGGTCGCTGTGCTCCCGGCACCTGCCTGTTCCCAGCCACGTCCCCGCGTTCTGCCCGCTCTCCCTTAGACGTGTACTCCAACCATCTTTTGCTGACCTGAACCATACACATGGCCGGCCTTCCTATCCAACGTTTCCCAGGGAATACTGTCAGGATAACCTGGCCCTACCTAACGTGCAGGAAGGAATCACGGTGTTGGACAATAATGAAATAATGTGTCGTGATTAATCATTTTATTTTGCTAACAACATGAGCGAAGTATGCAAAGATAAAAATGCCAACAAGCGCTTCATAAATCCCTTTGGATATTTACTGCTACGGACCAAATACTTGTACTCGCTAGCTCCTGTCTTTGAGCCAGGGCAGAATTCAGCTATCCCACTGTGGTACACAAATCACTGCAAGTCTCCAGTGACAAAGGCTGTGCTGTAAATTCCTGTCTGCTTCAGCATACAAACATGACCATATCAACTATATTTAGGGAATGTTTTTTCCTATTTATGCGAAAATCTGAAATTTAGCCTTTGAGGTAAAGAAAAATCTGTGCTTTGGATGGTTATATTAGATATCTACTACGCCTTCAAGTTTCTCATTAACTTTCTTTGCTGATATCCCTCTTCAGATAGAGTAAGAAAATATCACAGATGAGAATGAACCCTGTATCTATAAAAAGCCAACCCTATAGAACATTCTGATGGAAATTCAAAATGTAGTGTTATCCCGTGGTGTGAGCACCAGTTACTGGTCTCTAAACACCTTCTGATTTAGTTTTATCCGAGAGGAATCCAGACTGTGGGTGCTGAGAGCACACCATCTTGCAAACCACAGTGGGTGTCATCCAGCGAGCAGCTCTCAAAGCACTGTCCTCGTCCAAACTAGACATGTTGTTATTATAAACCATGGCCAGAATTCATTTGTTATGGAGTCAGCTAGAAAAGTGACCCAACATCGAATTAATCAAATCATTATTTCAGTATATAATTAGTTAAAATGTTAAATGTAGCAAGAGGTTTTCAGGAGGGCCATGGGAATATCAGAGTGCTACCAGAATTCTGTTAGTGCACATCAGTAAATCTTCAGACACTTCAGATATTTAGTTCTCCCTCTGGGCACAGGCTGAGTCCCTGAAGTCAGTTAGATTTCTGACACTGACACAGTGGCATCAGAATCAGGCCTTCGGTGTGCAATTTCTTTTTAATTAAACACATTAATACGGAGTTTGTTTCAGATTTACATCCCGGTGAAGTATGGTATGTGCCATCTGGAGTTCATCAGCACTGCCCTTCACCTACAGCGTGTGCCAGGGGACACATCGGTTACGCAACTAAGGGTCAGGCAAGACAAAACACAGCAGTCAGCAAAAAGATGAGAAGCCTGTTTGGTATTAAAAGCCCAAGTTGAATCAATTACATCTACACTGATTTTGACAGGGTTGAAGTAGAGGAATCAGCGGATGGAACAGCACACCACACCACAGCAGTCTTGCACAGCTGACAGTTTGCTCCACAATCAATACCAACCTACTTCCAGTGGAACAAATTCTGGCTGTGAACTATGTCAAAATCAGCCTCGTGCAGTATCGTTTGGGCAGCAGCTTTCCAGACCAGTCAGTCCTGGGACATCTCATCCCAGTTAATCTCCAGGGCATCACCCTCCTTCGAAACCCAGGGCTGCAGCCAGCCCCACCTTGCTGCCAGGCCTCACAGCACCTGAGCCTGGAGCCAGCAGCCGGAGAAAGCGAGAACACAGAAATGTTAGTTCAAAGGACAGAAAATGCACATTCTGCATCTTACACTGAGTCGTCACCTGAACTCCGTGAAAAATAATGTCCCTGTCTGAACATAACCTTGTCAAGGTCAAATGACTGTGACACGGGTGGAATAGCTCAAAAAAGCAGCGCAACGGGCTGTCTGTGGGGCTTAAGGAAAGCCAACCCTCCACACCCTGCTGCCTGTGTGCTGTCTGAAGAAACAAATTCGTCCTCCAGACATTTTCTCAAGCCTTTCTGAAGGATTTCTCCTCAGACACTGCCTCAGCCTTTATGGAATACAAAAGGCAGGGTCACGCTGGAGGGTATAGGAAGCTACACAGATCAAAGTGATTGAACCTTCATCTTGAGTCTGCACCATCAGTGAATAACAAATCCCCAATCAATGGAAATAATGGTTTGTGGATTTGCATAGAACTGAAGAGGTTGTTTTTTTTTTTTAAATCTACAAGGATGTAATTCTCCATTAAAGTAAGTTCTAAAAAACTACATTAAATTCCTGAACTCTTTTGGAGTTTTAGATCTATTTGACTACTTACTTGGCTGTAAGTGCCAAAGGAAAATCGGGGCGTTACCCTTCTAGGTTAGACAACCGGGACAAATTGCTTAGTATTCTGCCTCCAATGAGGGCCAACTCTTGATGCTCTGGGGTCAAGTAAGCTCCCTTTTCCTCTGCATGCAGACAGATGGTACTAGCCAGTTGTGGTCAAATAAAGATAGGAATGATTTAATTTGGAAGTCCAACGTATTGGCAAATATTTGGCTGTTTTTACAATAACAAATATTAGTACAAACACTGTTATCTGTCTTAAAATTACTCAGTCCTTTTAGAATCTCAAACCCTCAATAGCTGGTTGGGATAACTTTGTGTTCAAATCCTACATGCAAGTCAATTCTTTTGTGTAAAATTTTTAGAACTTTTTTTTTTTTCCCCATTTAAGCTGAACCTCTGCTGCTGATTATACATGAAGAGCTGCACTGCAGAAGGTGATAAACTTAGAAGACAGATGTTTTAAAGGAAGGTGTTAAAAAAGATCATTATTTAAAGGCCTTCATTTGTTAACATTCATTTGCTGACACTGTTTTGAATTTGAGCCATCTGCAAAAAAAGGTAATATTTTAGAGATGAATTTTTGGGGAAGAAAAGTGAAGCAAGGTTTTATTCTTCATATAAATTGACAGTGCACTTGGAAACTTACTGAAACTTCACCAAGTAGGAGGTGTTGACAAGTGTCACTTTCAGAACATATAATAAGGGAAAGATTTATAGGCACACAGTTCCCCAAATACATTTAAGACTAGTATTTTTCAAGACAACCAGTGGGCCTTAAGCACATTCTTAAATCAGCTTAAAATGAGGGGCTGTTTTTTCCATCAGGGCCATAGTGACAAATGTAACTTCCTCTAGTCAAGGTGCTCCTGTATCCCAAACCAGTGTCATTTGCCTTTTAATTCACCACTGCAAAACCTAAACTTTCTACCAGCTTGGTATTTCCAGCTGAAGAGCGGACAGTTACTAGCCAGAAAGAGCCAGTGCAGAACAGACAGAAAGTCCGCTGCAAAAGTGAAGCATTGAGACAGACCTGACACCAAACTTCCCATTTCTGAGCGTACTTTAAGCACCTACCATGCATGTAAACATATAGAGGAGAGCAAAAGTGTAGAATGGGTGGTAGGTTAAGGGTGCTGCATGTCAGCTGAGAGCCGGGACTGACAGCAGTGAGTGGCTCCTGCCAGAAAATTACTGTTTTATCCTATACACATTTCTCTGGGAGTATCATGATGTGAGATATAACAGACAAAAGTCCCTCTGACTCCAGTGTATTTGTTTTCTAATTTCTGTCTGCATTTGAAACAGTGTCAGTAGAAGCGCAGGCACAGTAACCGAAAGGGAAAGAAATCCTGATGAGATAAATGACATTTAAAACCACCAAGGCAGCAAGCAGCTGGAAAAAAGAAAACTTTCTTTTTTAAATCTAACAGGTTAAACAGCACAGCATAGGAAGCAGTTCTCCAGATACACAGTATTTGCATTGGCGTTCAGAAAACAGGCGACGTCTAAATCAGTTAGTGAGCACAGAAACCAGATTACCTTGTTACGGTAATTCATCCTAACTTATATTACCCTGAAACACCACAATTACAGCCACAGAGGAGATTTATCAACAATTACAGGCCTTGACATTTCAACTCAATCCCGTGTGACGGAGACTCTATGGAGACCCTGACGAAGAAATGGAGCAGGAAGGTGCAGCCCGCTGAACCAATGACAGGCAGAGCCAGGCTCTGCCCTGGGCTTGCTGGCATCCTAAGGCAGCGCTGCTGCAAATCAGGGCTCTGTTTATTCCCCACACCAAAGAGAAACTAGGCATTAAGGGGGAAAAGAAAATCTCAAACACAGAATGCAAAACAGGACATTTGAAAATGGATTATACAAAGCCTTTAGGCAGTAGCTGATTCAAGTGTAACATAGAGAGGTATATATATAGCAGACATTATGCACATATTTATATAAATGCACACAGACATACAGGAACTAACCTCACAGGCATGCTCCATCATGATGCACACTGCTTGTCTGCTTTACCTGAGGGTAGTACCATTCCTCGTATGCAGTGCACTTAATTTTAAAACCTGTAGGCTGTTCCTAGCAGACAGATTTAAAAGGATTTTTACGATTCACACTGCAAAAGGCTAAAAAAAATAATCCACCCCTGCTGCATAAGATTCTGTTTTCCATCTCTATCCTCTGAAAAGCGGAATCAGATGAGAAATGATTCATCAGTCGGTCCAGGGAAGCATTTAGAGGACAGAGAAGAAAAAGGGAAAAAAAAAAATAAAAAAAATCAACCATATAGTAAAATCTGCTCACCATGTACACACCCCCAAAGTGAAGAATCAGAGCAGCCTAACTGAGGAGAAGCTAAAGATGAATTTCAGGAGCCGGCTGCAGTTGCTGGGTGATGCACTGTAAATCCTGCTCCCTCCGGGGAGAATGAGCTCACAGCCAAGATCCAGCAGCCGCCCCTCAGCCATTGCAGTGTCACTGCAGCTTGCAGCTGAGAGCAGGCACGTCATCACACCAGCTCCCTGAAAACTGAAAGCCCTCCCTGCCAGAAATCTAAGTCAAGCATGCCGGTATAAAACCAGCTGCCCTCCAACGCAGACCGAGCTCCCCTCCTACCTGCGTGCTGCCCCAAGGACTGGCATTTTCAGCTTCATTATTAAGCCAAAACCCTGCACCCAGCACATCCGAGGCTGGACTGAACGCCTCCTGAAGCAGGGGCGAAGTTACTGAAAGAGGCAGAGAGGCGGGAGGGATATTCGGATTTAAAAACAGCAGCCTCTGCACTTGTTCCTAGCAAGGGAGATGGAACCCAGGGATATGGAAATCCTTACATGTGTAAGGGGAGGGCCAGGCACCTCTTACAGCACCGTCTTGCTGAGCAGCCCCAAGCTCAGAAAGTACATGGAAATGGTAATGCGGTGGAAAAAAGGCGGGTGTCTTTGCAAACTCCTGTAAGGTATCATTTGAGAATGAAAAGCATGTCATTACCCCCTAGACTGCTGTCTCTTGCTGCTTTTCATAACTGAAAAAGTATTCATTTTCAATACTCATACTCAGCACACCAAAAATTCTCCTTTACACCAGAATACAGATCATTTGTTGAATAACAAATACAAAGAAAATAAAAGTATTTGGCTACAACATACTTATCCCAACACTGCAAAATTATCTAGAAATAAAGAGGGTATGGGGCCTATTTATTTGTTTTTCATATTTTCCTGACAGAGAAGGTTGGGAACCTTTCCCAGTGAATGTCAGTGAACTGCTGACAGACATGACAGTGATCTAAGCACAGGACTGGAAAGCAGAAACCCACCCTGAAGGATTTTTAGAAAGCAGGGTGTGGGGTTTTTTTCCCCCTTAAACAATACCTAAATATCTGGAACCTTCCATTTAAAAACCTGGTTTTCCCTGAGTCCAAAGTCCCCGACTCTGTGCAGCACCAGAGAGCAAAGCCAAGAAATGTGTGCGACTCTTAACCAGATTCCTAGAAACTTGTTCCTGTGCTTGTGGTTAACCACCACTGTACTTCTCACGCCCTCTCCCCCTGCCCTGCACTTTAATTATCTGTTGACAAGGGTACATGCAGGGGCACTTTGAGAAATCCATTAGAACAAAATTCCTATTTACTACATTGAAACACCTAAAAAGACAAAAATATGACGTTTCTCATGATAGGAAGCTTCAAGAACATAATATCTTCATTTTTTTGCTCTTACAGACTCCAAATTTTCTATTTTTCTATCCATCCATACTGTGCTGCATGGTGGGAAACAGCAGTGTTCCTCACAGACACGGGCCCCTCATTTACAGGGGTGTTTTATCCCAAAGCCCCAGTCCTGGCTGCTTCCCTGCAACTCTCTGCCTCTTTGGCATCCCGCTGAAGCTAGTTTGTCTCTGCGGGAACACAACGCCCGTCGCAAGGGAATGGCAGGATCAGCCCCTCAGCCTGCAAACATGGAGTTACTTGCACGTGGTGTCAGACCCAGGCAGAGGAGCACCACCAACGCCAGAAAGCTCTGCCTTCAGCCTTGGCAAAACTCAGAACCCTTCCCTGATCCTTTATCACACAAACACTTTTTAAATAAAATTAGGTCATCTTGCTGCAACTCAGCCCACTCCACCTCAAGAAGGCCACGAATCACCCATCTTCCAGCCAGTTCCCCAGTTTAAGCCGGGAACCCCCTCCCAAGGGTTGGCTGTGGCTCTGGCGAGAGCTGTGCAAACAATGGCTTTTGAGCCGCTGGATAAATAAAACTGTTTTCTATTTTTAGCGTTGAATTGCAACATTTTGTGGGAGTTTGTAAGTCAAACATTGAAAGCAGTGTTGTAAGCGGTATAAAGCAAGAGGCCGTCATTAGTTTACATCACTCAAAGAATTGGGTTTTGTTTTTCAGCTGGCAAGTGCCAGGGAAAAAGCATTCTTCTGGCAATTTCCATCTACCGAGCTGTATCCCCTGCAGGCTTGGCCAAAGCACTCCACTGCACAGTGCTGTACCACGCAGAACAAAACCACTGGTGAGCTTTAAAAACCTGAAGTTAGCAAGTAAATCAGAATTCACTTTTCTGATCCACTCTAGAAGCGGTCAGAATTTCTTCCATTTTAGAGGTTGAAAAGCAAACGCACAGAGGTCTGGTTTTTGTTTTAAACATTCTGGTTTCTGTCTTTTGCAGCTATCTGAGCACACAGTTACATATTACACCTGAATATGTAACATAGATTAAGTCCTACTTACAGTCAACGAGTCCTGTTTCCTGCAGGCTGCAAAACCAGCTGATGATTCTGTAAGGAATGAATGATACTAATGATCAGATTTTTGTCACCGGGCCATCAGAAATGGCTGTAAAAAAGAAATAACACACAGGAAAGAGACAAGCATATGCAAGAAATGGTGAGGCATCCTCATAAATTAAACCTGAAGAAATGAAACCTCACGAAGAGTAACAAGAGTGGCCCAAATAAAAGACTCGGGCTCTTCTGCACCCAAGTGCTGGGTTTATTTCACCTGCAAGAGCATCTATTTCCTCTGTCTTCCACCCCTGTAGTGCAACCACCTTTTAAACTTAGTATTAAAAATGATACAAAAGGAAACTCCTGTGTTCAGTTAGTTTCTCCCAAATCCTGATGGACTGGGGACACATCATTCTACTCCTCTCTGCTTCCTTCATTACTGTCCTCCTGTCTGACTCTGTGAGGACAGCCAACCCCGGCGCTTGCACCCAACAGTCTGATCAATCCTACCCACTTCTAAGCTAATATAAGCCAATTTAAGGTCATCAACGTAAGACTGTCCCCATTTAAGTCACTTAGAAACACATTTGCTTAAACTGGTATGATTATCATGCGCAGACCTAACCCCTAATTCCTTTCTTCCTTCCGACTGTATAGTCAGTCAGATCATTAAATTCACTGTCTCAAGATTGTTTTGGTTTTTAAGTCTCAGATATAATGAAGTCAGACCAATGGACTTGGTGCATCTATTAGGTCTCTTTGTGTCAGCAGCTGGGTTAAGCATGAACAACTCAGAAATGAGCATCCGAGAACCATTTGGTAGTTAATGATGAACACCTTTCCAAGAAATGCACCCATAAAAATCGATGTGCTGGTCTGATTTCAGAGGCAGCCAGGAGGGTTAATAACTAAGCCACTGCTGGCAGTGAAGAAAGCAGAGGGAAGCAGGTCGTTCTCAGATTTCAGCCGCTTCTGAGGAGCTGTGCTGTGCTCAGGTGAGCAAGAGGGCAGGAGCATGCTGCTGGAGAGGACTAGGAGGCACGTGGCAAGCAGCGGGCTTCACATCTCCCGCGGTGCCAGCACCTGAAGTGATGTGGCACGTTGTCCCAGAGCAGTCCTGAGACTGCCCTCCAGTTACACCAGTCTCCCACTCTACCCATGACAAAGTTGGCACAGGTAACTTTGATGTATATCAACAAGAAACCAAAGAAACATCAATCAATGTTACCCTTTTTTAAACTAATTTAAGTTTACAATTGGTTTGGGATTACGAAAAGTTTTTGTGTAATGCCTAAAATAATTGTTCCTCACAACTGTTGCAAGCTGCCACATCAGTACAAAAGCAGGTGCTGAAGTTGGCTGACCCGCAAGCGTGACTTCATAACAACCTAAAATGTCACCTTCTTCAGTCCATGGAGGGCGTGGGGCACCGTCTCCCATTTAAAAGGAGCTAACCAGTATATGACTGCTCTGCTGACATGCAAGTAAACAAAATTAAAGCGAGTTCCCACCTGAAAGAAGTTCGCAGCTTAATAAATTGATAAGCTTTTAAAGATTTCACCCAACACAATTTATAGTTTTCTGCAATCACAGCAGAGTGCTTTTCTGGCAATAACCACAAATCTTTTACCATAAGGATTTATACGCAAATAAATGTATTTAATAATGCATACTATTGAAAGAACTCAGAGGTCAGCTGTCACAGCTGTACTGTGATACCTACTAGTACAGGAGGAGATTAACTCGACCCTGGTTTATACCTGCCTTATGCAGAAAAGGCTTGTGGTAAATCCACTTCCCAGAGGATCGGTCCCCAGGAAACAGGATGAAGGGGAAGAGAGTATCGGAGGTACCTTCTGCGGTGCTGGGTGGCAGCAGCACAAAGCTCTTTGCAAAGGCCACCTGGCGGAGCCTCTGCCTCCGGCTGCCCGCCTTCCAAGGATTTCTAATTGGTCTCATCTTCCTTTTGAGGGCTAGCATGGAAGAAAGGGGACATCACTTCTTTTCATTGAGGTCTGAAGCTTTTCTGGCCTTGTTGACGTCTCCCTTGACCAGATGACCAGTCTCTCCTGCCTCTTCTCTCCCCCCACGCCAGGCGGGGCAGAGTGGTGACAGGGAGCAAAGTGCCCCTCCGACCCTGCAGCGATCCTCAGGCAAAGGCTCGTCCAGAAACCAGGGCAGAAGGTCCAGGTACTCCCAGGGCAAGGCTGGGAGCGGGCACAAAGCCTCAGCACCGCTCCCAAGGGGAGCAAGGGCCCAGGACTGGGCTTCCCCCGGGGTCTGGCCGCACGCCCAGGGCCCTGGCAGGGTCTCTGCAGAGGTTCTGCCAGCTCTTGAGGAGAGACACCACAGCTGAGGTGCTTACCTACGGCTGGTTATTAAAACTACCCATGTAATTATACCTGCTGCACCTGCAATGACACCTACAGCAGCAAATTTTTCCCCATTAATTGTAGATGACCAAAGTCAGAGCAGACTCTGACCTGTGGTTTGCAAAATTAATGCTTTTTCAAAGTCAGAAAAGCATTGACAGAAAAAAATCCTGAAAATTTAAACACTTCGGTCTTTACTACCCAAATGATACTTCTCTCAGCAATTTATGACATTTTTTCCCTTCGTGTAATTAATTTAATTTAAGCCCCTGTCTGTGATGTTTAGGGTAACAGATACTGTAAAATCATAAATGTGCATTCAAAGGTTAAACACAGTGCACTTTCCCTAGTGTTTCCTTGTTGGGAAATAAGTTTGCGACATTGTAACAATGTTGTTCCTTTGTTTAAAAAAAAATAAATCCATTTCCCCTCCTTTTAAGGTAGAGAAAGTGTTTTTATTCTGAAATCCAGCACCCAGGCGGGCAGGCCGCGCTCCGGGCTCCCCGCAGCAACGTGGGGGACCAGGGAGTCCTGCCAAGTATCCGCAAAAATATTAAGCATTGTTTTATTACAAATGAACAAAGTTCCCACTCTAGAAGAGCTGGCCCACAGGCCGCACGTTCTCCTTCCAGAATATTGCTGGAAATGCCTGAACAAATCCCTGCACGCTGGCAGTAGCAGGTAGAGCACTGCTCCGAGTTCCCTCTCACAGCGGGGCAGCTGGAGGATCTGGGGACCTGGAGGCAGTTTCAGGACACTGGACACCAGCTGGGTACTTCCACCACCCCGGGGAAACATCAGCCTAAGGACCTACACTGCCTTGTCTTTCTTACCTCCCCAATTAAGGGCATCCTGCAGAAGGGGAAAGGTGGGCTCAGCTCTTTTCTTCCCAGGAGAACACCTGGGGAGCAACTTCACGGGGAAACCCTAGCAGAGCTCTACGTTCTCCCACGTTCCTCCTAGAGAAGAGCCTGCTGCTGCCAGAAACCAGTGACGGAACAAGCCCGTTCAGAGACAACGTGATGTTTGTGCTGCTGAAATAGGCAACACGTTGCTTCGCACAGGATACACGCAGGGTTTGTGCAGCACCAGAAGACAAAACACTTGTCAGGGGTCTCCCTGCTAGTAGAAGACACTGTCAGAGCGTGTTTCTGCCTGGGATGAGCCTGGTGGAGTCACTGCTGGTTCCTGGGGCAGGGGAAAGCTCTCTGCAGGGCTCTTGACTGGGGGATATCCAGTGGCTGACAATCTCCTCCCAGATTTCTCTATTGATGGGAGAAGACTGAAAAGGTGATTGTGCCAGCGGGATGGCATTGCTTTGGTGACCCCTCCTCCCTCCTGAGCCATACTCGTGTCAACAACGCGCTGAGCTTCCTGTTCCTCACACACTGCAGCCCCTGAGGCGCCAGGGTAGTGCTCTCGTGAAGAAGGCACACACTCCCTGACCGAGGAACTCGCTCTTCTCCTCTGTGGCGAGGGGTTTCCGTGATGGAGCGAGGCTGCCGGGCAGCAGAGAGCAGCAGAGAGCCGCAGGATGAGCACCGAACCCCGGGCAGCCGCCAGCTTTCGGAGCCGTGTCTGTGCACGTCCATCAGGCCTAGCACAGGAAGACACAATAAAAAAACGCATAAACATAAGGAACTCGCTTCTTGAACAGTTATTCAATTCAAAACTTTGTTCTGCCAAGGACAATTTCCCCCTAACTTCCTTAGGGGAACAAAATTAATTTTTAATCATGCAAATTAAACAGAAATTTCTCAGCATATTTCCAGTGCTCAGGCATAACAGACGATCATTTAGGCACCGGCATGCTCGGGAAGGCTCCGAGGGGGCTGCACGCAGGGCACTTTTCCCTGCTGCCTGCCTGCCTGCGAGGCAGCCCACAGCCCCCCAGCTGTGCCCAGCTGTGCCCCTGCCAGGCCAGGCCTCTGCACCCCTCCCCGGGCGCACAGCGTGGGGCTCCGGACGGGCCTGGAGACCTGCCCTGCCTCCCGCACAGCAGGGACAGACCAGGGGCTGCGTGAGCCTCAGTCCCAGGGGGCCGAAGGCTGCAGCGTGGAGAAACAGTGGCAAAGGATGGACTAAAAGCTGGAGAACTGGCCCTGAAAACATCTTCATGGGCCAAACTGTTACTCCACTTTGTCCAATAATCCCTTGTACTGAGTATAACGCACATATTAATGGAATCCCACCCTTGTATTTCTGCGAAGATTCCAAGTTAATACCCCTTGCTACTGTACTAACTCACTGAAAATTTACCCGGAGATATATTTTACTCAGGCTTTGTGATTGCCTGCTGCAGAGCAGCACAAGTGAAAACAATTCCAGCCTTGAGAAAACGCCTGCATCCTCTAATTAAGTAAACAACCCTTTACCCATCCTCTGGCTAAAAACCGAGGAACATTTTATGTGTGTCTTTATAAATTCCCAGCAGTGAATCAGTATCTGCTTTCAAATGGCAGCATCAGTCTTTACTAAGCGGTTTCCTCTTTGGAGAGGCCCCGCCGCCTGCTCCGGGGGCATTACAAGGTGAAAAGAGAGGAGGAATTAACGATTACCTATTTCAAGGCCCTGTGCCACTCCCTCGAGAGCTATCAGCTGGTTTCAAGGCCAGCACTTGTGCTTTTGCAATCAGACACGCTTCCCTTTTACGCCCAAGCACAGTTTTCTGTCTGCCCCGCGTAACCTGGTGTAGGAAGCACCGTGTCTGGTTACCGGGGGCGGGAAGCGCGCTGCGGGGCCCGGCGGGCTGGGCAGCGTACGGGTCCCTGCGCGGGCGCGGAGGGGGAAAGCGAGGCGTTCTCTGAGGGAGCGGCCCTGTTCTTCAGCCCGGGCTGTGCCGGCCGCGGCCGTGCGCCCAGCGCGGGGCCTCTC